GAGAAGACAGACAGGCCACTCCCTCAATGAGGAAGAGCAGAGAAGACAGACAGGCCACTCCCTCAATGAGGAAGAGCAGAGAAGACAGACAGGCTACTCCCTCAATGAGGAAGAGCAGGGAAGACAGACAGGCTACTCCCTCAATGAGGAAGAGCAGAGAAGACAGACAGGCTCACTCACAATGGAAGAGTAGATAGGTGTGGTTTATATTGCACTCTGGCTGCAGTGTTGCATGTTTGCTGACTGATGACGTGAGGGGCGTGTCCCGGTGAGAGCGATGAGCTACACCAACATGTATCAGAACCCGCCTCTTCCCTTTGACTGGATAGGAATGCTGCCTGGTGGTGGTATACAGCTCCTCATCACCTACAAGTCATACTCAGTGGTGTGCCGAATGCAATTGTGTTTGTGTAGCGCACAAGTCCAGCTGTGTGCAAATCTGTTGATCAGAGTCTGTCTACTGTCCGTTTCCTTTGTTTTAACAATTGGCCACTCCCTCTTTTAGGCCACTCCCTCTTTTAGGCCACTCCCTCTTTTTTGGCCACTCCCTCTTTTAGGCTGCTCCATATTCTAGGGCACAGCCTTAAGTGCAGGAAACAGACAAACACTCATTAATAACTTGGGGAACAGCCAGATCGTTAGCAACACATGCAGCCCTGCTTTGGCTGACAGGAAAATGCTGCTGCCTGTTTGTAGGGTCTGACAGCATCAATTATCCATGACAAGCAACTATTAAATGATACATATTCTGCTGAGCTACATAAGGCACCATAATGAATGGCTACAATAAACACTACAGAACAGGAAAGTAGTGATTCATTTATAATAAAAGCCCACACAGAATATCAGATCATCATGCAGCGATGTGACAGAAAACTTAAGTGACATCATGTACAGCACATGCTATTTTCAAGGTCACATTGTGTAGACATTGTGTGTGGGGAGGGGGTCCCAGTATGAGTATGAGTTACGAAATTAGGGATACTGTGTGACAAGGACCCCTCCACAAATTGCTTCCTTATTGTAGTGGAGGAGTTTGTGTACCTCTGTGATTGTAGGAGCTGTGGTGTTGGGGAATTTGCCTTTGGTAGGGTCTCACAAGGCAAATTGGTCAGTCAAAATGCAATTCAAAAACCACTATGAAGGAAACGAGTAATGAGTGTGTAACCTCATCCAGATTAGGTCAGGTTGTTACCCATAAGGCCCAGCCAGGCAAAGGCCAAAGTAGATACATGGGTACACCCTCCTAAGGGCCCACCACCTGCAGGGGGGGCTGCGATGGCCCAGGGCATTGTGGATCAAGTGGCAGTCGAAGGCAAGGGCCTTCACAGACTGATCATTGGCTACAAAAATTGGCTTTAAGGACATGGGACATAAGCTCTCTGGTGGGAAAGGAGCCTTAGCTAGAGTGGGAGGTAGAGAGATACAGTACCATGCAGATATAGTTAAACTCACCTCAATGCATAGCACAGGCTTTGTAATTAAACTCCTGGAAAGGGGCTAGACTCTGCTCTGTACTTGAGTTGCCCTGGGTGACAGGTACTGGGGAGATATGGGTCTACTCATAGCTCCCAAGTTCAGCATCACTCGGTTGGAGTTCAACCCCAGTGAACGACAGGATTGCCTCCTCCTGACTGTTATCTGTGCTTAAGTGCCAAAACCTCAGTATATCCAACCTTCTTGGAGACCTTGGATGGGCTGCTGGAAGACACTCCCTCAGTTTTTCCATAACAAGCATAAAGGATCAAACATAAGGGTTTTGAAAGTACTCCAGGGTCCGGAACATTCCAGGCCACCGCTTGATGACCAATTTTGTAATAGTACTGTCTAATAGTACTGTGTGACCATATATCTTGGACACTTGGGTGAAGAGAGAAGCTGAGCTGTCAACTGATCACCACCTAGTGGTGACTTGGATCAGACGGTGCGGAATTACGGCGAACAAACCTGGCAGACCCTCCGGTTGTTGGTGCCTGTTGTGACAGCAACCCCCGAACCCAGTGATGTACACTTGCGGTGAGGGAAGCTGTCAGACTGAAGGAGGAGCATTGGCTGCCTTATGTCACTGATTCTGTTCATGACTTCCTGAATTCCTAGGTGAAGCCAAGGGGCAGAGGGGGGTCCAGTTTGGTGACCTCAGGTTTACATAATCGGTTTTTGCAAATGATGTGATCCTATTGGCTTCATCAAGCTGTAACCCTCAACATGCAGTGGGGCAGTTTGCAGATGAGCGTGAAGCGACTGGGATGAGGATCAGCACTTCCAAATCTGAGGTTATAGTTCTCAACCAGAAAAGGATGGATTGCCCCCTCCATAAGAACATAAATTTACAAATCAGAGGAGGCCATTCGGCCCATCAAACTCGTTTGGGGAGAACTTAACTAATAGCTCAGAGTTGTTAAAATCTTATCTATCTCTGATTTAAAGGAACTCAGGGTTTTAGCTTCCGCTACACTAGCAGGAAGACTATTCCATACTCTAACTACACGCTGTGTAAAGAAGTGTTTTCTCAAATTCAGTTTAAAATGTTCTCCCGCTAATTTCCACTTATGGCCACGAGTTCTAGTATTTAAACTAATATTGAAATAGCCATTTGGCTGAACAGCATCCAGACCCGTTAGAATCTTATATACCTGGATCATGTCCCTCCTTAGTCTCCTTTGATCAAGGCAAAACAGATTCTGCTCAGCTGACCTCTCCTCATAAGACATTCCTCTAAGACCAGGAATCATTCTTGTAGCCCTACGTCGAACCTTGTCCAAGGCAGCAATGTCCTCCTTAAGGTATGGTGACCAAACTTGCACAAAATATTCTAGGTGGGGTCTTACCAAGGAATTATATAAATGTAACATCACCTCCCTTGACTTAAACTCCACACACCTAGAGATATAATACAACATTCTATTGGCCTTTTTTTTATTGCTTCCCCACACTGGCAAGAGTGGGACATGGAAGCATCAACATACACACCGAGGTCTTTCTCATAATCAGCTACCTTTATTTCAGTGGAACCCATAAAATATCTGTACTTTATATTTCTGCTCCCTGAATGGATTACCTTACATTTATCTACGTTAAATTTTATCTGCCAGGTATCAGCCCAGTCGCTAATTAAATCCAGATCCCGTTGTAGCCTCTTTGCTGCTAATTTAATATCTGCTACACCACCCACCTTGGTGTCGTCTGCAAATTTAACCAGTTTACTGTATATATTGGTGTCAATATCATTAATGTAAATTAGGAACAATAATGGTCCTAAAATTGAACCCTGTAGTACCACACTATGAATGCAGGCCCACTGCGACATTGAGCCTCTAATAACTACCCGCTGCTTGAGTTACTGCCTCAAGTGGAGGAGTTTAAGTATCTCGAGGTCTTGTTCACGAGTGAGGGAGGAATGTAGTGGGAGATTGACTGGCAGATCGGTGCAGAATCAGCAGTTATGTGTGTGTTATACTGGTCTGCTGTGGCGAAGAGAGCTGAGCTGGCAGGCGAAGCTATCAATTTACTGCTTGATCTATGCTCCTACCTTGACTTCACAAGCAATGGGTTGTGACCAAAATAATGAGACTGTTAATACAAGAAGAAGAAATTAGCTTTTTGCAGGGCGTCTGGCCTTGGCCTCAGACAAAGGGTGAGGAACTTGGACATTCAGTAGGAGCTCAAATTAGAGCTGCTGCTCTTCTGCATTGAAAGGATCCAGCTAAAGTGGTTTGGGCATCTATCTAGGATGCCTCTTGGACACCTCCCTGGTGAGGTGTTTTGGGTATGTCCAACTGGGAGGAGACCCCGGGCAGACCCAGGAGACTGGAGTGTTAATATGTCTCAGCTGAACTAGGAATGCCTTTGTATTCCCCCAGAGGAGATGGTGGAGGTGCCTGGGGAGAGGAAGGTCTGGGTCATCCCTGCTCAGTCTGCTGCCCCCATGACCCAGACCTGGATGAGTGGCAGAAAATGGAGGGATGGATGGATGGATGGATGGATGGCTGTCACAAGGAAGATAATTAGGAGTTAGGTGTGAATTTGATTGGAGAAATGACGGCGATATCAGCAAGGTCTTCAAAATCATACTAACCTCTTGGTTCTAATGAATTGTCATTGACCTCAAATACGCGATCAGACCCCACAGTTTTTACACAGCTGTCTGGCAAAAGCAGAAAAACAGTGAAATGAGTGAAAGCACAAAGGACAACAATGAAGAATAAACCCTAAACTTAACCCTAATCCCCAGACAAGCAAGCAACCTAAACATCAAAGGCTATCTAAAGTAAGATTGCCTGGTTAGTTGCATCTCAACACAATCTAAACAGAAGCAAACTGACCTGAAGAAGGATAAATGGCCTGAATGTGGATAGATTTCCTGATATATTCAGGGTAAAGCCCAGAAATTAGGTATTGAAAGGAAGTACTTACTTGATGGTCGAACAAACACTTTAAGCTTTAAACATGTTCTTCTTCCATTTTCAGCTGTGGTAGATGCTGTGAAAACACAGACACCTGTTTTCATAGTTAGAATACTATTATATACTGTATATACTGTTAATCTGGTAGTACATAATGTATATAAACTGACTCTGCCAGATTGTTATCTCTGCTCACTTCTTGCATTTTTTACATAGATCTTCGAAAAGCATAAAGGATATATTAAACATGCTAAATTCTGCTATAGTCAATGACAATGGGAGCAATCCCAGGAACCAGGGCTCAAAACCAGAGCTCAAATGAACACCAAGGGAGATTCAAACCAGTACAAATAACACCGCACAATACTGAGAGTAATTGTATATAACTGCTCTAAACTGTTAATAGTCTTTTCTTTAGTACCTATTTATATTATTTCATGAATTTTTTACACCTCTTTCCTTATTAATTAAGGGTCCAAAGCAGATACTATGTGCTACGGACCCATATTGCTTTTGTTAGGATTTGTTATCTTTCTTCCCTAAAACTAAACAGTAAGACCTAGACCTACCAAATTTGGTAGGAAGAAATCAATTCCTACACACTACTCAGACCATCCGACCAAAATTAGACAGTCAGACATTTCTGCTGATATCTCCTAATTCTTTTTTCTGCAGATGCAGGAAGCTATTCCCTTTAATCCTTTAAGCTCCGCCTGGAAGTTTTTTGGCTAATTTGCATAACCTACTTTTGCCTACTAGTCCTACCTCATCTGACCAAATCAGTAATTGAAGTGTCAGAACAATAAGACCCCTGAGCTGAGTAGGACACCGCTCAAGGCTGGCCCCATTCTGGGGACACCGTACAAGGCTGTCCCCATTTCACCTCCTTGGCCAATCCAAGTGAAATTTGGCAGATATGTAATATGACCAAGCCTGAGGTCAGACACTTACTATGGTACTCATAATTGACCACCATCAGCCAATCAAAATCAATCATCCATTTGACAGGCTTACCAATTACCAATCCACACCAAAACTGGACAATCCCTTCCGCTACGGCCCCTCAGCCCTCCCTGGTAAGGGCACCGCAGTCTGCCAGATGGGGCGTGAAAGTGACAACTTTTGCATTCCTGCCTATTTCTCCTAAACTTTCAAGCTTACAGTTGAAATTTGTTACCAGGCCTATTCAATATGTTATGCCAAATCAAACAACATATACAACGTGGTTCTACCTCTTTCCCTTTTTGCCTATTTCATATGTCTGAAAACAGGTTTTTTCGAACTTGCCGTAGGATTTTCACCCAGCCTATATAAATCTGGTATCATTCAAATCAGCCCTTATAAATAATTATTAAAAAAAATCTTACATATTCTGTAAGGTACGGCCACTCGCCACACTCTAACCATACCTGTGCCACACCCAATCCTATCGTGAATGCTTCAGCCAATCACTACCAAGCTTCAGCACATATTGTTGTAGGGCACTTGGAAAGGACCCTCCAAATTTCACGCTGATCAGTCAATAGGAGGAGCTACAGCAATTGTGCATGCGTCTCTAAACCTACAAAATCAGTGCAAATGACATTTTCCTCATTTGTCTTTGAATAAGATCTAATTGCTTTCAGTTCCATGACTCCTGCCAAATCAAAATATATGTCCTGTCGAATTACAGTCATTTGCATTTCCTAGTGATCTTTAAAAACTCAATAAAAGACATTTTTCTATTACTCCTACAACCTCCACCGCACCTCCCCAGTTCTGGTAGCAGGCGAATGGGCACACTGCCCTTACGGATGACTCCTTGACCTGCCTGTACAGTATAGCCACCAGTCACACTTACCCTACAGCAGTCCCATGCCCATTTCAATCCGGCAGCTATATCTCAGGTACGCTTCAGCCAATCCTCACCAAACTGAATCCACTACTGTAGCACATGACTACAGATAGACCCTCCAACCTTGATGCCGATTGGTTAATAGGGGGTGCTATGACCATATATGTCTAAGGCCCACCTTGGCTATTTCAGCTGAGATCTCTTAAAATGCTAAAAAGAATTGTCACCTTTCCCTTCATCTCAGTACATTTCCTTTCATTTTACTGCCATTTAACTCATAGAAAACTATCAGACAGGGTGCACTATGCAGTTTTTTGCACATTTTAATAAATTGGCCAGCAGGGGGAGTCAGTGCTTCATTTCATAAATGCTATTCCCTAGCTTAAGGCCTCCTCCTTCAGATTGCCTGTTTGTTTTACAGTTGCTTATGTATATGCTGCATGATGTTTAAAATAATGCATCACAACTTCCTCAGAATGTTTCTGTCCTGTGGCATGTCCACCATGAAATCCTTCAAAATGGATAGTCACCACAGCTGTTCCTGCGAATTGTGTTTAAATGTTATACTTTTCATTTCCAGTGGTAATTTCCTACATCACAGTATTTGCTAGTATTACTGAATGTAGGACTACAAATGCATACATAGGCTGTGTTAGCTAATGGAAACAGTCAAACTACAACACTGGGTACTGACTGCATATATCAGACTAGTAAAATTGGAATAGACTATATTTGTCTTGTTCAGATATCTTTGCTTTGTCTGAGGAGGCTTGTGAATTATATCTGAGTCACAACAGTTGTGACAGCACGACTGACATACTATTCCATATAAGCGGCTAAAATCACATCTGAAAGAGCAGTCTACAAAAAGCACAAAGTATGGTTGTTGTGCTGTTGTTGGAGCAGGCTACAAAAACCATAAAGCATGATTGTTATGCTGTTACTTGGGCAGTCTACAAAAAGCATAAAGTATGATTGTTATGCTGTTATCTGGAGCAGTCTACAAAAAGCATAAAGCATGATTGTTATGCTGTTAGCTGGAGCAGTCTACAAAAAGCACCAAGCGTGATTGTTGTGCTGTTATCTGGAGCAGTCTACGAAAAGCACAAAGTATGGTTGTGCTGTTATCTGGAGCAGTCTATGAAAAGCATAAAGTATGGCTGTTGTGCTGTTATCTGGAGCAGTCTACAAAAAGCACAAAGTATGGTTGTTGTGCTATTATCTGGAGCAGTCTACAAAAAGCACAACGTATGGTTGTTGTGCTGTTATCTGGAGCAGTCTACAAAAAGCACAACGTATGGTTGTTGTGCTGTTATCTGGAGCAGTCTACAAAAAGCACAACGTATGGTTGTTGTGCTGTTATCTGGAGCAGTTCCCCCAACAGAGCAATGCTGTTCTGAATATGCAAGACAGTCCAAGTTCACACAGCCAGCATAAGCAACATTTTACCTCTAAGATCTGGACCATCTGAACCAAAGCAGACATTCAGTGGGGGGGAGGTGTTACACCACAGTTTCTACATTCTCTCCTCTATCAGCTGACACGTTAGTCCTAGACTCAAACATCTTCATCCTGTTTCAGGATTATTTAGTACTGTCTGACTTTTTACTACAATGGCCCCCAGTGACAGTCAGTGCTCCATTTTCCAGCACTTCTCCTGTACTGGTTCTACGCCCTGGATGACATTCTGACGCTGTGGACCCTTCAGTTACTGCTTGTACTTACTAGTTGTAATTCTGTTTTATGTTTTATGTTCTTGATGTTCTTGATATCTGTATACCTGCTGCAAAGTCAAAGAAACTTACGCCCCCCCCCCCCCACACACACACACACACACACACACACACACACACATACACACACACACATACACGCAGGAGAAGCGTTCCCATAAAGCTTCTTTCAAATGTCATCAGCATCAGATGTGAAACACTCAGAGGCATAGCACCTTATAGCTTACATTATGTCCCAGACATGGGACCATACATGATAACTCACACACTCACAGAGCACCTTACTCGTTAACTGCACCACAGATGCTAACTCACAGACATGACACTACAAGTTAGCTCACATATACTGTCCCATACATGTTAATTCACAGACACAACTCCATGCATGTGAATGCACAGATACAGTACCTTACATGTTTATTCACAGACATGGTACCTTATACTTTAGCTCACAGATATGGTACTGTTCACATTATGTCACAGACACGACACCTCACATTTAGTCACAGACCTTGCACAGTATGGTCAATTCGCCTACATGGTACCGTACACATTAAGTCACAGGTATGGTACTGTACTATTGGCATAACATCAATGTCAAAACTTCAAGCCAATAAAACACAAAGTGAGAAATATAAACCTGCAAGTTGTAACATTTTGTTTGCGTGAATATCCCACTCGCAAACACAGAAAGAAGAATTGCGTGCATGTGTATCCTAATATTGCACTCAAACTGTCTTTTTTTCTTCTCAATTTTTTTTTTTTCATTCCTGATTTCATAGATATCGTCATGTGCCAAGTGGATCACCTTCGACTGCTCTCTGTGCTCCAGTGGAATATTTGGCTCGAGTTTTGACATCGAGGTGGTTTGATAACTTGAGGTCCGGCTCATTGCCGTTTGTCGATGAATTCACACGCGACACGATATTACGCACGCGACACGATATTTAAGTATGCGAAATTTTAAAACTTGATAGTCTATATTTTATAGATTATAAATGCATAATCCCATGCCAGTGTATGTAGAGACATTGTTACTTACAGATGTAGTAGTACTCCCTTCCTGGTCGAAACTCAAAGCCCAGAGAGAATGGGGTGAAAAGCTGGAACTTCTCTGAGAACTTGAGAGGTGAGTGTGGCTGGTTGCACTCCCAGCGCTTGAAGCCCTTAGCAAGGTTCTCGCAGACACTGTAGCCGTCGTAGTTCACCATATAGAGCACATAGCGCTCGGCACGGTGCTCCAGCACCGAGTGGGCGTAGTAAGGACAGAACACATCCAGGTAGTCGTTGATACAAACGTCGATGTGATAGTCACCCCGCTGGAACCTGCCGGGAAAAGCGAGCACAGGGTTACAGCATGTCACGGGGACTAATGGGTTACAGTCTACATAACCAAAGAGTCACGGGCTGTCATACAGGACCTCACAGACCAGCACCTCTCCCTGAACTGAAAGTGTGGCTCACAGACCTGAGTCTCTAAATGACTCGAGTCTGTTGTTGAACCGCAAATCTGGCTCACCGGTCTGTTCATACATGTTCGTACATTCTTGCAAGAAAACTCGATGTTCGTACGAAAGGTAGAAGTCACATGTATAAAACCTTGTATAAACCGTGATACTCATCGTTCAGAAATGTGTAAACTGCGATACTCGTTCACATAGAAACATTTGCACATACGCACGCGTGTCAGACTGCTTCATTCCCACCCATTAATTACCCTGCATTTACAATGCAAATTAGCCACGTGTATGTAAATGGACACACCATGCGGTTGCTCGCGCCCCGTCCAGGGTGCAAATTTAATGTAATGTTTAATTAAAATATTTGACATATTATGCATAATTATGACAACTCGTATAATATATTATTTATAATTATGATTACTCGGGCAGCCTATTGACCTTGCAACCCCAGATGTTTCTTTGCTCCATACTCTGGAGTTCTGATGCTTTCTGGAGTTCTTTCTTTCTCTCCTCTGATGCTTTCATGCGTTCTTTCTTTCTTTCTTTCCCTCTTCCCCTTTTCCCTGGTTCATATATCATTTTGTTGAAATGATTTAATTAATAATGGCTTGCAACCTATTCTTGTCGAGTGTCTTGTGAAAGGCGCTATATAAAAATAAACTGAATTGAAATTAATCGAAGAATGACCCATATAAGTTTACTGTGCCTACAGAGTATTTGTTTTTATGATTGTTGATTCCTTATTTCCTGTGGTGACTGTGACAGGCTTGGGACTGCAGCACACTCTTAGCACGCAATAAGCAGCCTCCGTGTTTGTTTGCTTGGAGCAGCAAACAGATTCATGGCCTCACGCGCATTTTCCCTTTTATAGTTCCTGCAGGTGCCAGTCGCTGATGAAATCACAGTGTAAAAAGCCTCTTCCTCAAGGTGGATATCGGCCCTCCTCCAAAGCCACTGTAGCTCTTCGTCATTTTGCCCTGTCACCGTCCCCTTGTTCCAGTCACCCTGTTGACTTGCTGGGTACAGGTGAGCATTTCTGCTTCCTGACCATAATAATTAATATGATCCTGTGCTCATTATCTTTGCGGTGACTCAGTGTGGTGATTTGATCACACACGGCGTTTTGTGAATGAATGACAAAGATGTCTGCTGAGCTGCTGGTGTGCCCTGTCGCACCCAGAGATTTCTTCTCCATGACAGTATGCTGGTAAATTGTATGCAGTTGCTTCCTAAGCAATTGCAACAAGCGAAACCTCCCCAGCTCCAAGTGCAGTGCAGCGGCCCTTTGTTGGTGGGGCAGATGGCATTCAGAGAAAAACACAGCACCTACTGTAGATGATAAATCCCCAGAAGTAATGACAGTGCCATTGTGCTAAAAATGACAACAAAGTTCACTTGCCGACAGAACTGCTAAAAATGTATCCTGCATGGGGGCGAGGTGTGGCTCCACTGGCTAAGCCACTGTGTCTGTGAACGGAAGGTCACTGGCTCAGGTCCAGCCTCAGTATGTCTGTGGGCCCTTAAGTAAAGCCCTTTACCCCAGCTCCCTGTTGTGGTTGCCCTTCACAACCAGCCCGCTATCACCAATGGAGTTGGGGGAGGCAAAAAATTAATTTTCCTGTAGGGGTCAGTAAAGAGTAGATTTAAAAGAAATACTGGTTAATTAGTATTTACTGGGAATTTCAGGATAAATGTCAACTGAACTGGTATAAGCAAGGTTACTAAAGGAACTGCTTTCTAATGAGAAGAATATTAGAGTTAGAGTTAGGATGTCTATACCTGTCTGCCTGACATCACATACTATCATGTACAATTAAATCCTATGTAGGAGTTAGTTAACCTTCAGCATTTGCTGCTCAAAGTGCAGCTGCATCCTTGCTAAACATGAATCACGGATTGCTGGGATCTGCTGCGCGGGCAGAGGACCTCAGCGCTTCTGGGGTGTTAATCCTCCCGTCCCTCATTAGACCTTTAAGCTGCTTAGTGTGGCTGTGGGGGGGCAGGTCCACATAGAGTCACAGAGTTATTTCCTCTGTAAGAACCCCACTATGGGTGACACTTCGATCGTAATGAACAGTGATCACTAACTAACTGAGTGTGCTGCTGTGAGCACATGCTCCATGTCACACAGTAGTGTTGAGATCTTTCTGAAGTGTTGCCCAAATCCGCCGTTTGGCTCCTTGCCCTTTGGACTGAATGCCTTCCCCAGGGATACAAGGGACGCTAAACACCCTGGTGAGCAGCCCAATTCCTCAGCTATTCCTCCTGACTGTAGATCCTTGTCACAACGCATAATATAATAACTCGACAGAGTGTAACTAATTGAATGATGATAATAATAACAATAATAATGATGATGATAATAATAATAATGTTGCAATATAAAAATTTAATGTAGTCTATAAATTTGTTACATTTTGTGAAGTTATTACATAATGCAGTGTAATTACATAATGCTTTGTTACAATCCTGGCAGGACCCGTCAATCAAACTGTGCCTTGAAGAGGCCAGTCAGCTGAGGCTGGCCTGGGTTAGCAATTTGACTCTCCCTGCCGGCCCCTGGAGGATGGGCTCCCCCTTTGAGTCTGGTTAGGGTTAGGGTTCCCTCTGCTGCCCCCTGGAGAATGGGCTCCCCCTTTGAGTCTGGTCCCTCCCAAGGTTTCTTCCTTCTAGGGAGTTTTTCCTTGCCACTGTCGCCTCTGGCTTACTCACTGGGGGCTTTGGGTGGGGATGCTGTAAAGCGCTTTGAGACGATGTAATGTTGTGATAATGCGCTATACAAAAATAAATTTGTTTGTTTGTTTGTTTGTTAGCCTGTGACCTGTCCTAGGCCTAGGGATGATGGGGGCCGTTATGGCGAGATGTCGAAAGAAAGGAAAGAGAAGGTGTGTGCAAGGGCAAGACAGACCAGAAGGGGGGCTGATCGGCAGCGATGCCAGGGTCACACAGCGTTTCAGAAGAAGCTTAGTGGCCACATTTTACAGTTATAGGCGAAAGCCTCCCACTTTTTACTTGAAAAGGCAGGTTTTATAAACAAACTCCCCCCCCAAAAACCATGAAAAGTGAGTATAAAGGCGTGTCGGTGTTCTGAACGCAGTTCATGTTTTGGTAGATATTTGTGATTTTGTGATATTTATGAGTGTGAGACTTGAGGCTGACAGTGACTCCCCATTTACACAGATTGGCTGTGACTCACTCATTAGGAACACACCAAAAGACACACACATACAGAGACTGACCCACGCCACACACATGCTCAGACGTATCACATCTGAGAGATGTATGAGTGACACTGACCCCTCACGGCCCAGAAACTCACAGCCAGCATCAGTACATCGCTCCCTCCACAGCACAGGAAAAACAGCAATCGCGGCATTAAGCCTAGACCGCTTCATTTACATCACTTTGGTTTTGAAAGATGCCAGACAGAGCAATGCAGCTGTTTTGCTGGTGGTTCAATGGTCTTCAGTCCATTAGAAATGATTTTCCCAGCATCACAGAAATGAGCACAATTGTGCCCTCATGTCAGATCTGTAAGCTGAATATGATACAGGCTGTAGGCAAAATGCCAGTCTAATATGACCACTTACAAAGAATATGGTCATATATTAAGATCAAGTACACTAATAAAATGTTGCAACATCATTATTACAGCATAATTAGTGCCTCATTGTTACTGTCACATTATGACTAATGTTAAATGATCCACTGTAACCAGTGTCAATACATTATAACTGATGTTTAACTAGGGTTTCTAACATTGAAACTAATGTCTGTCGTCCTGCAATAACATGAAACATTGGCTACTTCTCTGGATTTATTAGCAATGAAACAGTGTTTCAGGAGAAGATATTAGATTAGGGATGGACTATACTACTGAAAATAACAAAAACTTGATGCACAATACATCATTTAACTGATCAGTGTTGACCAATATTCATTAAAAATCTAGATGTCAGCATTGGTCCAATGTGCCAATATTGGCCGATATTTAAACTTTATCAGTATTCATAGCAGCACCAGCAGAGCTAAAGCCGGAACCACTACAATAATGGAGATGAAGCGGCATTGGATAAAGTGGCGGTATGGGGGGGCTAATACTGTTGCCTCACACATCCGGGACCAAGGTTTGAGTCTCCACCCTCCCTCCATGCGTGACGTTTGCATGTTTCCCCCCCGTCGTCAGGTTCTTCCGGGTTCTCTGGATTCCCCACACGGTCCAAAAAGATTCTGAAGTGAATTTTGAGTTACCAGGTTGCTCATAGGTGTGAATGGTGTGTGAGTGAGTGTGCCCATCCTGGGTTGTTCCCTGCCTTCTGCTCATAGTCTCTGGGATAGGCTCCAGACCCCCTGTGACCCTGAAAAGGACAAGTATTTACAGAAAATGGATAGATTGATGCATCAAATGATCAGCCATTTTCAGTAATGGAGGAAAAGGGATTTTGTCAGTTCATTTACCACTCAGCAGAGGTCATACATTACCAGCCTAAATCAGGCTTTCAGATCAATCTTTAGTCTTTCAAAGAATAATACACTTAAGGTCATTTAACTGATCTGCGCCAATAAGCTTGGCTGGAAAACGTAAGAGTTAATATGCACCTATATGTAAAGGATTAACCATAAAATCCACCCCTGCAAAGCTGTGACCCCACCATCCCCCCTGAAATTTTTCCAACTCAACCACTGGGGGTGACAAACAGAATGTGGAAATTGCCAGCCTTTATACAGCCTTTATACTACTTGAACAGACGGACACTGCTGCAACACGACTGAGAGAAGTCTTAGAAATATACTGTATATGTATACAGTTATGCTCTAGGGCAGGAATACTCCGCTGACATCCAGAGAGAAACACAATGTAAT